TATTTTAAGGTATTGCGTGTTGCTCAGCGTTTACAAGCCGGTACGGTGTTCATTAACACCTATCAAAAAACGGACGTTGCCTCACCATTCGGTGGCTTCAAGCAGTCTGGATTCGGCAAAGATCTCGGTGAGTGCTCACCTACGATTGATCGTTATTGAGCGGCCCGTTAACACAATTCATCAAAAATAATGCTTAATATCATTTTTTGACGAAAACTTTCAAGTTTATTTTATCATTCGATCAAGAGTGTTAGTTTAAGTCAAGTTTTTTCACAGTTGTGATCATTTTGGAAGATTCGCTAAAGTAATTTTATGGTTCTGCATGCAATCATTTGATTTCACCGTCTATAAATTTCAGGAGCCGAAGCACTTAACGAGTATTTGCATACGAAAACGATTACTATTGAGTACTGAAGCCCACGTTAAAGGATTCGCATTTAATCGAATGCAACACTGTCGATGATGACTTAACCGATTCGTTTTCCCCTCAAATTAGGTAGTTATTAGGTTTTCTCAATTATATACACTCTTCACATCCAAACGTCTGCTCAATGTTAAAGTACTTTCTCTTTATATTGTTTCATTAATTTGTTCCTCGCAATGGGAGTGAAAATTTTTGATTAAGGAATGTTTTATTCATGAGTAGATCATGACTAATATTCACACGTTTTCATAAACTGTTCATATTATTCACCAATTTATGATTATTTCATTATCACTCTCTGACAATTTTCATGTGAAACCCTTGATTCATAGAACACTTAATGACATTGTATGTGAATGTCGCAGTACATAACCCCATAACGGTTCAAATTATAAGTGAACTCGGAACTCATAATTGCTCACTAGGAAATAATCGTATGAAATTACATCAGCTGGCTGCTACCGATCAATCAATGCTATTGATCAAGCTCATCATTATCCATCCACCTCCTATTAATGACAACCTTGTTCCGATGATATTATTCTGTGATACTCTCCACTCGTTATACTATTCACTTGTTCGTCCACATATCCTATTGTATGCATTCTCATGCAATAATGATGGTGTTTTGCTAATCTGCGGTCAACGCGATGACCTAGAATCGATAATAACCATCTATTTACATATTTATTCGTTACATTATATAATACTGTATTGTTGAATATACACATCCGGAACAGCTAATTTAATTGATCAATAAAGAGATCGTCAAAATGTGTGTTTATTGTATCATAATCAATCATTAATCAGTGATTGATACATCACTATGACAAA